AGCCAACACAACGATAACAAATCGACGAATAGAAACACTTTCTGGCGAAACTTCTTTGTGTTACTGTGAATATCATGTCTTCACAGCGAGTTACATCTTTCCCCTCAAGAAGCGCCCTTTCGCTTAATACATGTTCTTATGTGGAATTTGGCCACAGTGAATTTGGAGAGCCATAGAGGGCTATGGTGAAAAGGAAATATCTCTCAAATGAATCCTGGAAAGAAGCTTTCTGAGCACCGTGGCATCCATAGTGTTCTGCTTAATTCATCGTCACAGAAGTATAACATCTGTGGTACCATTAGTATGTCCAGATTTAATCTCTTTTCACAACAGACAACTCCGAGGAGGCCTAGCGAACGACCTACGAGGCACATCAGCCGAGTAGCTGGGATAGCCAGCGCCACATCACCTCGCACCGGCCAGTTCTTTATATTTGTACCTATTTTAAGTAGAGACAGGGTTTCACCGTGTCAGCCAGGATGGTCTCGATCTCCTGACCTCGTGATCCGCCCGTCTCGGCCTCCCAAAGTGCTGAGATTACAGGCTTGAGCCACCGCGCCTGGCCAAAATTTCTTTCTTTCTTTCTTTTTTCAGACAGAGTCTCGCTCTGTCGCCCAGGCTGGAATACAGTGGTGTGATCTCGGCTCACTGCAACCTCCGCCTCCCAGGTTCAAGCGATTCTCCTGCCTCAGCCTCCCACTCAGAGCACTTAGCTGGGACTACAGGTGTGCGCCACCACGCCTGGCTAATTTTTGTATTTTTAGTAGAGACAGGGTTTTGCCATGTTGCCCAGGCTGGTCTCAAACTCCTGAGCTCAGGTGATCCACCTGCTTTGGCCTCCCAAAGTGTTGGGATTACAGGCATGAACCACAGCACTCAGCCATAAAATTTCTTTTTTTGGGGGACAGGATCAGAATCTAAGTAGGTTCACATATTTTATTTTATTTATTTACTTGTATTAAAGAAAAAAACCCTTATTGAGACAGGATCTGTCTCTGTTGCCCAGGCTGGAGCGCAGTGGCATGATCACAGTTCACTGCAGCTTTGACCTCCTGGGCTCAAACCATCCTCCCACCTCAGCCTCCCAGTCCCAGCCTGAGGCCAGGACTACAGGTGTGTGGCACCATGCCTGACTAATTTTTGTATGTTTTCTTTTTTTGTAGAGACAGGGTCTAGCCATGTTGCCTAGGCTGGTCTCAAACTCCTGAACTCAAGTGATCCTCCTGCCTCAGCCTCCCAAAGTGCTGGGATTATTGTTGTGAGCCACTGCCCCCGGCCCCAGACTTATTTTTATCTGCTCGTGAACATTAAAGAGATGGTGTAATTTGTAGTTTATTTCTTGGTTTTCTGGCTTCTTTCATTCCACCTAACATTTGTGAAAGCCAATCACATTCTGTGTAGAAACAACTTGTTCACTCCCACTGCCATGGGGTCTTCCATTGTATGAAGAAACCACAATTTGTTCATATTTACTGAGTTAAAAATGGAACTATATCCAACAGCAGAGAATGTCACACGACCACCAAGACAAAAGGGGTGAATCTATATGTCTTTTTTTTTTTTTTTTTGAGATGGAGCCTCGCTCTGTTCCCAGGCTGGAGTGCACTGACACGATCTCAGCTCAGTGCAACCTCCGCCTCCCAGGCTCAGGCGTTTCTTCTGCCTCAGCCTCTGGAATAGCTGGGATTACAAGCCTGCGTCACTACGCCTGGCTAATTTTTGTATTCATAATAGAGACAGAGTTTTGCCATGTTGGTCAGGCTGGTCTCAAACGCCTGACCTCAGGTGACCCACCCACCTCGGCCTCCCAAGGCGATTACGGCATAAGCCACCACACCCGGCCTATATGTCTTTCATGGTGTATTGTTATGTTAAAAAAAAAATCACAGCCAGGTGTGTGGCTCACTTCTGTAATCCCAACACTTTGGGAGGCTGAGGTGGATGGATCACTTGACCCCAGGAATTCGAGACCAACCTGTGCAACATAGTGAGACCCCATAAAAATACAGAAATTAGCTGAGCATGTTGGTGTGAGCCTATAATCCCAGCTACGCAGGGGCAGAAGCAGAGGATCACTTGAGCCCAGGAATCGAGGCTGCAGTAAGCCATGATCATGCCACAGCACTCCAGCCTGGGCAACAGAGTGAGACCCCGTCTCAATAATAATAATTTAAAAAAAAAGCAAACTGTTCCTTACAGTGTTGTGCATAGTGACAAAGAAATCGACACAATCTAAGTGTCCAGCATTAGGAGAATAATAATTAAAAAAAAAAATCACATTGGCCAGGTGTGTTGGCTCATGGCTGTAATCCCAGCACTTTGAGAGGCTGAGGCAGACAGATCATGAGGTCAAGAGTTCAAGACCAGCCTGGCCAACATGGTGAAAATCTGTCTCTACTAAAAATACAAAACTTAGCCGGGCGTGGTGGCATGCACCTATAATCCTAGCTACTGGGGAGGCTGAGGCAGGAGAATTGCTTGAACCCGGGAGGTGGAGGTTGCAGTGAGCCAAGATTGCACCACTGCACTCCAGCCTGGGCAACGAAGCCAGGCTCTGTCTCAAAACAAACAAACAAACGAACAAAAAAACCCCCAAAACCAAAACCAAAAAGAAAGAAACAAGTGGGCTGGGTGATGTTGGGCCCCTGTTCTCAAAGCTAGAAGAAACCAGGAGGAAGAGTCAGAAGGCTGGTGGAGCCAGAGCATTGGAAGAAGTTTCCAGCCAGTCAGGAGGCAGAGATCAGTTGGAGCTGGAGGACGCGGTAGGTCGGGGCGTAGGGCAGGGGGACGGTGGGGCGCCGCTGACCTGTTGTTGTCCACATAGCGGATGAGCAGCGGATACAGGGCGTACAGGTCCCGGCAGAGCACGGAGAACTCGTCTCGCACCAGCAGCTCGCCCTCCTGGGCCTCGGCCTTGGCCTCCAGCCGCAGCTGCTCCTCCTCGGACACCACCTTCCCCGCCCTCTTGCGCAGCCGCCCGATGGTGGGGATGAAGTGGGACTGCAGGAGCTCCGGCCGCGCACGGCTCACGATGGGCTGTGCGAACACTGCAGGGGCGCAGTGGGCTCCGATGCCACCTCCGGCCTCTGATACAGGCCCCGACCTCCGTTCCCAGCCCAACTCCCTAACGGCACCTCCGACCTAGCGGCTGCCATACGACCCCAGCCTGACCCTAACCTCGGACATCGTCCCTGAACACTGATCCCAGCCATAGCTCCTGACCTGAACCTACGACCCAGTCCCTATCCTGTGACCCCAGCCCGGCACAAATCCCTGACTTCTTCTGACCTCTAACAACTGAAGCCTCACCTGTTACTTCACTTTCTTTCTTTCTTTCTTTTTTCTTTTTTTTTTTTTTTGAGACACAGTTTCACTCTTGTGGCCCAGGCTGGAGTGCCATGGTGCCATCTCGGCTCACCGCAACCTCCGCCTCCTGAGTTCAAGCGATTCTCCTGTCTCAGCCCCCCAAGTAGCTGGGATTACAGGCGTCTGCCACCACACCCAGCTAACTTTTGTATTTTTGGTAGAGACCGGGTTTCACCATGTTGGCCAGGCTGGTCTCGAACTCCTGACCTTAGGAGATCCACCCGTCTCGGCCTCCCAAAGTTCTGGGATTACAGGCGTGAGCCACTGTGCCTGGCCTGTTACCTCATCCTTAACTAGCATGACCCCTGACCCCAATCTTTAACCTCTGACCTGGCCCATGCCCAGACTCTTACCTCACTATGTGATTTCTGGTCACTATGTGACCCCAAGGTCATGAATGGGCTTCTTATCCCAGCCTCTGGCCCCTGATCCTGGCCTCTGATCCCAGCTCCTGATTTCTAGCTTGACCCTGATCCACAACCTGTTTCCTTACACAAAACCTTTTTTTTTTTTTTTTTAATAATAGAGATGAGGTTTCACTGTGTTGCCCAGGCTGGTCTTGAACTCCTGGTCTCAAGTGATCCACTCACCTTGGCCTCTCAAACTGCTGGGATTACAGGCATGAGCCATCATGCCTGGACCTTACATGAAACTTCTGAATCAGGAAACCTAACACTTTGAGGATCTTTTTTCTTTTCTTTTCTTTTCTTTCTCTCTCTCTCTTTTTCTTTTTCTCTTTCTTTCTTTCCTTTTCTTTTTCTTTCTCTCTTTCTTCCTTCCTTCCCTTTTTTCTCTTTCTTTCTTTTTCTCCTTCCCTCCCTCCTTCCCTCCCTCCTTCCTTTTCTCTCTCTTTCTTTCTTTCTTTGCTTCCTTTTGTTTTGTTTGTCTGTTTTGAGAGAGTATATCACTCTGTCACCCAGTCTGGAATGCAATGGTGCAAACACAGCTCACTGCAGCCTCCAACTCCTGGGCTCAAGAGATCCTCCTGCCTCAGCCTCCCAAGTAGCTGGGACTATAGGTGTGTGCCACCACACCTGGCTAATTAAAAAAAGTTATTTTTTTTTTTTAAAGAGATGGGGTCATGCTATGTTACCTAGGCTGGTCTCAAATGGCTGGCCTCAACTGATCCTCCCACCTTGGCCTCCCAAAGTGTTGGAGTAACAGTTGTGAGCTACCATGCCCAGTTGACCCCTGGCCTTTTGACGCTGAAAAAACCTACACTCTGACTCCTCCCAACTCCCAGGGGACCATGGGTCTCCCTTTCAGACCATCTGGCCAAGGGAACCCAGGCCGCTGACCCACCCCTCAGACGCCCAGTGCCCCCGACCCACCAGCCAGCCGCTTCATCCAGGAGGCCTCGTCAATGCCCAGGTTGTTGACGATGATTCTCAGGATATTCCCCAGCAGGGAGTTGAGGTGGTCAGAGGTGACAGCTGTGCAGGGTGGGGGGGCGCCGGCGGGCAGGGCAGGAGGGGGTGCCTCGGGCCCGCGCTCCCACCATCGGGGCAGGTAGCTGCATAGCATGGGCAGCGTGATCTCAATGACGTGCGGCATCTCTGTGTAGCGGGCCCCTGACTCGGCCAGCCCCCCGATGTCTGCCATGAGCCGCTCCAGCACCGGGATGTCAGGACACATCTCCTCCACACTGTTGGGGAGCCCCAGGACTGGGGTACAGGGAGGGGGGCAGGGAATGTCAACCGATCACCCCCAGACCTCAGCGCCCTGGCCTTCCCAATACATCAGATACCATTGAATTGACACCCCCCAAACCAGTCTCCCAAACCCTATTCCTCCCATCTCACCCTCCAGCCCAACTACCTCTCCCAACCCTCACACTGAAACTCAGTGGCCCTGCAAACACTTCACACCCCCGAGCCTGTCTGCTGCCTAAAATCTCACCCCTAGAAACCTTCCCTCCTAAAATCTCCCACATCCCAAGTGCATTCCCCTCATCCCTACAGTGCAGCATACTCCAAAAGAGACCTTTTCCAACCCCACCCCGTCCCCCGGCGTCGTCTCTGAATCCCACACCCGGTTCACTCCCTTGAAACAGACAACCTGTCACTGGCTCACTCGCTGACTCTGGGCCAGGTGCCATTCTGGGAGCACAGCTGACCAAGAAGACGAGCTTCCTGCCCTGGAGCGTATATTCCCCCCAGGTCCACGCCTCATTCTAGCCTCTGGACCCAGAACTCAGGGGACTTTTGTCTATTTTATCTGTTCACTGCTGAACCTCAGGTAACTAGGACAGCGCCTCATACATCGTAACTGCTCAATACATATTTGCTGAATGAAGGAATGAACCCATGCCTTCCCTCAATCCTCTCACGCTCAGATACCCCTCACCCTATGTCTCCAAGCTTGACGATGCCCTCAAATGTCACCATCACTCAAATAAATTCCACAGCTCCAAATTCCATGGATGGGGTTTTGCTATGTTGCCCAGGTTGGTCTTGAACTCCTGGACTCAAGCAATCCTCCTACCTTGGCCTTCCAAAGTGCTGGGATTACAGGCGTGACCCACTGCGCCTGGCCAGCAAGTGCTATTTTTCTTAAACTTTATCAATGGATTCTCGTTTTAAAAATCAAATTAATCTCCTAATGCTCCCCACGTAATGGCCTTGAAATGCCCCCAAACCATAAACTCTGGGGTTCCTGAATGTGTGGCACCCCCAACCTGGGGAATCCTCAGCTGCTCACAGTCCAGCCCAGCCACACTACCCCCAAATTAGGCTCTTCCCAAGGCCCTGTGCTGGGGAGACCCAGACCCCCGGCACTGCTTCAGCCCCACACAGCTTACTGGCCCGCTCTCGGGGAGACTTGGTGGTGTACACGGAGCAGGCGTTGTACTCGTTCAGCTGGGGCTCCAGGAATGCCACCGGCATGGCTGCTGCCAGACGGGCCAGGCACTCCCCAAGGGCTGGCCGAAGCCTGGAAGAGGGGGCTGTGTTGAGCTGCCACGTGTCCCCCTCTTTCGGGTCCTGGGTCCCAGCCCCATCTCCATAGAAACGGCTCCTCCCAGAACCCTTTGGGACAGAGCTGCCTTTCTTCCATGTGTGCTACTTGTTTTGTTTTTTTAAGACAGGGTCTCGCTCTGTCACTCAGGCTGCAGTCCAGTGGCCTGATCTTGGCTCACTATGACCTCGAATTCCTGGGCTCAAGTGATCCTCCCACCTCAGCCTCCTGAGTCGCTGGGATTACAGGCATACACCATACCATGTCTAGCTAGTTAAAAAAAAAAAAAGTTGTTTTTGTAGAGATGCAGTCTCACTATGCTGCCCAGGCTGGTCTCGAACTCCTGAGCTCAGCTGATCCTCTCATCTCAGCCTTAGGAGTAGCAGGATTTACAGGCACCAGCGCCACCACACCACAACCACACCAGACTAATTAAAACAATTTTTTTTTTGGTAGAGATGGAGTCTCACTATGTTGCCCAGGTTGGTCTCAAACTCCTGAGCTCCAGTGATCCTCCCTCCTCGGCCTCCCAAAGTGCTCACAGGTGTGAGCCACTGCACACCGCCGGTGTCACTTGAAATATGAATAACTTCAGAGCTGGTGGAAACAGTCTCAGCTCCGCTCTTGCTGTATTAGTAATCAGCTCGGGAGCGGTCACGTGGCCACTGCCAGGGGCCCTCCCCAGGGACCCCAGTGTTGCGCGGCACCTGTGTACAGTCCCCATGGTCTGCGCCTCCCCTTCTTCCTCAGCGAGGCCCTCAAGCGCCTGCTTCCCGGCCCCAGACCTGGCGGCTCTACCTCCTTGCCTGACCTGTCCCTGAGCGCCCTCACGCGGCCGCCGTGGGGAACTGCGGCTGCAGCCGTGTGCGGGAAGATTCCTAACATCTACCCTGCTTTTCACCCACCCGGTCTTCTTCTCCTGCTCCCTCCCTTCCCCTCCAGCCCCACCCAGCCCCAAACGATGGCTCTCTCTCCTTACTTTTCCACGTAAATGTTCTTGGTGGTTCCCAGGGAGTAGATACTGCACAGCGTTCGGTAGCAAGAGACCTGGACGTCGTCCACTGAGGGAGACGGGAGCGAGGCTGTGGGATGCACTCACAAGACAAGCCCTCCCCACCCCACCTCCCCTGTCTCCAAATAGGCCTATGCAGTGAGGAAGAGCAAGTAGCTTTACAGCCAGCCTGCCATGTAGTCTTGTGACTTGAGCAAGTTACCAAACTCTCAGCCTCAACTTCCCTACCTATAACATGGGGATAGTTATAGTACCTTCCTCACGGGGTTGGTTGTGAGGATCAAATGAGTTACTACTTGGAAAGTCACTAGAACGGGGCACACATTAGGCACTCGATAAACGCTAGATGTTGTTTCTTCTGTGGAGAGGAGTCATGGGCCGCTATAATGAAAGTGAGGGGTACTTCCTCCAGAAAAAAGCAAACAGACCTGCAATGTTGTTGCACTTTTAGGCTATCTTTTTCATTTTATTTAAAATGTATATATTTTTAGGGTTGGCGCGGCGGCTCACGCCTGTAATCCCAGCACTTTGGAGGCTGAGGTGGGCAGATCACCTGAGGTCAGGAGTTCAAGACCAGCCTGGGCAACATGGTGAAACCCCATCTCTACTAAAAATACAAAAATTATCTGAGTGTGGTGGTGAATGCCTGTAATCCCAACTACTGGGGAGGCTGAGGCAGGAGAATCGCTTGAACCCGGGAGGCAGAGGTTGCAGTGAGCTGAGATCGTGCCACTGCACTCCAGCCTGGGTGACAGAGCGAGACTCTGTCTAAAAAAAAGAAAAAAAAATATATAGTTTTAGAGATGGGGTCTCAGTATATTGCCCAGGCTGGTCTCAAACTCCCGGTCTTAAGTGATTTGCCCGCCCCAGCCTCCCAAAGTGCTCGGATTACAGGTGTGAGCCACTGCGCCCGGCTGGATTCTGAATTATTTTTAAAAAATCAAAGACATTTTGTGGGTAACGAGGGAAATTTAAATACGGTTAGGTTAGGTGTGATAATGATATCGTGGTTACACAAGAGAAGGTTCTTATTCTAGGAAAGCCAGCTGATGAACATTAAGGGATGAGGTTATCCTGGTGTGTGCAACTTACACCCGCTGGTGTGTGCAACTTACATCCAAAAGTTCAACCAAAAAACTAAATATTTTCACCCACACAGTGAAGGGTAAGCACACGGGGCTTTTCTTCTTTTTTTTTTTTTTGAGATGGAGTCTTGCTCCATCACCCAAGCTGGACTGCAGTGGCACGATCTCAGCTCACTGTAACCTCCACCTCCCGGGTTCAAGCAGTTCTTGTGCCTCAGCCTCCCAAGTAGCTGGGACTACAGGTGTGAGCCACCGTGCCCAGCCAACAATTTTCTTCTTTCCACCTTCCTGTATGTTTTGAAAATTTCAAAATAAAAAGTTGGATGGGAGAAGAACCCTATCCAGGTGCTACTTTTCTATTCTTCTTTTTTTAATATGGGGTTTTGCTGTGTTGCCCAGGTTGGTCTTGAAATCCTGGGCTCAAGTGATCTTCCTACCTTGGTCTCCCAAAGTGCTGGAATTACAGGCATGAGTCACTGAGCCTGGCTACCAAGTGCTACTTTTCTTTTCTTTTCTTTATTGAGATGGAGTCTCGCTCTGTTGCCCAGGCTGGTGTGCAATGGCACGATCTCAGCTCACTGCAACCTCCGCCTCCTGGGTTCAAGCGATTCTCCTGCCTCAGCCTCCCAAGTAGCTGGGATTATAGGCAACCACCACTATGCCCGGCTAATTTTTGTATTTTAGTAGAGACAGGGTTTTGTCATGTTGGCTAGGCTGGTCTTGAATTCTTGAGCTCAGGTGATCTGTCCGCCTTGACCTCCCAAAGTGCTGGGATTACAGGCGTGACCCACTGTGCCCAGCCAAGTGCTACTTTTCTTAACCTCTCTCAATAGATTCTCTTTTTTATCATCAAGGACCCTATTTTATTCCTTATTTATTTTAGAGACAGAATTTTGCTGTTATCCAGGCTGGAGTGCAGTGATATGATCATAGCTCACTGTAGCCTCCAACTGTTAGACTCAAGTGATCCTCCCCCGTCAGCCTCCCCAGTAGTTGGGATTACAGGCGTGTGCCTCCATGCCTGGCTAATCTTTAAAATTGTTTTTTTAGTAGAGACAGAGTCTCGCTATGTTGTCCAGGCTGGTCTTGAACTCCTGAGCTCAAGCGTTCCTCCTGCCTCAGCCTCCCAAAGTGCTGGGATTACAGGCATGAATCGCTGTGCCAGTCCATTTAGGGTCTTTTGTTAGAGCTGCTGAGCTCGCATCCTCTTTAACTCATTTGCCACCTGCCAAGGTACTGACACATGCTTTGCTTACAGCAAGAAATCCACACACTCAAACACCCAGGGATTCTCACAGGCACCCAGGATGGGTGGTGTTGGCCACACTGACTCCCCACAACCTGCCCTTGGGTCAAGAGCCCTTACGGATGACGTCATCTCCGAACTGGTGCTGGGCGATGTGCTGGAAGAGGGTGGTGAGGACCGGCAGCAGCGCCACGGTGGTGTAGGTGAGGTTCTGGCCCACGCCCTTCACCTGGGTGCGCGCCTGTGACACCTTGCCCAGCCGCAGGTTCTCCACCATCTTCTCAATGTCCTCCGAGGCACTCTCGAAGAAGGAGCGGAGGCCAGCCTTCACGATCTCAGGGCCTGACTTCATCACCGTCCTAGAAGGGCAGCAGGGGAACACCAGCTCTGGAATCGGACAGTCTAGGAGACCAGGGGTTGGGGTGGGGGCCCGATGACGGTGGGAGTGGGTGCCACTGCCCATGGCCCTACCTGGCATCCAGGGAGCGGGCCAGGATGTGAAGACAGTTAACCACAGCCGGGGCATCCGTCCCTGGGAGAGGAAGACGGGCCGGGGAGATGGCATGGCTAAGAGGACAGAGGACAGTGCCTCCCTCTACATCCACCCCAACCCCTCTCTTCCTGAGGCTACCCGCAGGCTACGTTGGAATGCTATTGCACCCCCACCCCGCCTGGACTCCTACAGTGCCCCCAAACTTCCCTCCTCCCCAGCCCGACCACTCTCCTGGCCTTCTTCCTGCCCAGCCCTGACCCCACTGGGCTGTCCTTGTCTGGAGATGGGTCTGTCTCTCCCACTGGCCTGGGAGTCCCATTGAGGGCAGGCCCAGGGTGTCTCAGTCACTGCCCTGCCCCCCGGATACCCGGTCCATGTCTCCGGGTCCAGAGGAAGAACACAACAAAGCTTGTTCAAATTAAGGCAGAACCTGGGAGCTATTTCTTCAGGGTGGAGAAGAGAGAGATTAGGGAGGAAGACCAAGGGAGTGGAGCCACTTACCAAAGAGAGAGACTCGGTGGCGGACAAGAGCAGCAAGTTTGCAGAAGAGGCTGAAGAAAGAGAAAGGGACAGAGGGCAGGAGAAACAGCAAGTGAGGAGACCAAGGAGACGAGGAAAGGGTGACCCAATTAGAGGAGACAGGGACAGAGAAGACAAGGAGAGAGGAACCAGGAGGGGGCCGAATGATGGAGACAGGAGGGATAGGAAGGGGCAGAGAGATGGGCAAGCTGGTAAGTCATAGGCAGTAACTGGGATGCTGGGGAGGTGAGGGGCAAGTCGGCCTTTCTTATTATTCTTTGTTTATTTTTTTTGAGACAGGGTCTTACTCTGTCACCCAGGCTGGAGTGCAGTGGCGCGATCCCAGCTCCCAGCAGCCTCCAGCCCCTGGGTTCAAGCGATCCTCCCACCTCAGCCTCCCAAGTAGCTGGGACTACAGGCATGCGCCACCACGCCCAGCTAATTTTTGTATTTTTTGTAGAAATGGGGTCTCGGTATGTTACCCAGACTGGCCTCAAACTCCTGGCTTCAACTGATCTTCCCACCTCAGCTTCCCAAAGTATTAGAATTACAGGTGTGAGCCACCATGCCCGGCCTTGAGTTGGCCTTCCTGGACAGGGTGATTGATTTGTCCCAAGTTGTCTGAGAGTCCCACATTCTGGGAAGCCCTTCAGTCCCGGGCACACTAGGATGGCTGGTCACCATAGCCCTTCAGTTGCCTCTGCAGGAGACGGTCAGTACCCAACACCCAGCACCCAGGACAGAGCCTCCACGGGCGAAGGATTACAATACTGTGGGGTCAGGGGGCTGGGTCCAGGGTCACAGGCGGCCCACCTGGTGATCATTTCCTTCTCCTTGTTGGAGGCGTGGCCACCACTGCCCAGCACTTTAGCAGGAGTGGACAAGAAATAGAGGCAGTGGTTGGTGAAGTACTGGTTGATCAAAGGGAGCAGGATCTGGAGATGGGGTGGTGGGGAGGAGATAAAGCGTCCGGTGAGGGGTGGGGAGAGCCCACGAGTCCCCAGCCCCCTTCTAGCTTCTAAGCCCACCTCTCACCTTGGCAAAGAATTTAATCTCCTGTTCATGTGGGGACTTTTCCACTCGCCCACTGCTGACCACAGCCTCTGTAGGGAGAGCAAACAGGGTTCACGGTGGGTTCAAGGCTGGAGAACCCAGGGTGTTCTGATGGGCAGGATGCTAGGAGCAGAGTTGGGAAATGATGGGGAATAAATTATTGGTATGAAGTCATTTGTGTTGACTTTGAGATAAACTTTTCTCCTACTTTTCATCTGATTCCCCCAACTCCTTTTTTTTTTTTTTTTTTTTGAGACGGAGTTTCACTCTTGTCACCCAGGCTGGAGTGCAATGGCACCATCTCGGCTCACTGCACTCTCTGCCTCCTGAGTTCAAGCGATTCTCCTGACTCAGCCTCCTAAGTAGCTGGGATTACAGGCGTGCACCACCACACCCAGCTAATTTTTGTATTTTTAGTACAGCCAAGTACACCATGTTGTCCAGGCTGGTCTCAAACTTCTGACCTCAGGTGATCCACCCGCCTCAGCCTCCCAAAGTGCTTTCCCCCAACTTCTTGATTAAACCCTTCCTGAAGTTGACGACTCCTTGATCAAACCCCTTCTGAAGCTGACGATGGGGAAAACAAACTGGAATGGGTCCTGGAACATGCCCTTCCTCACCCACCACAAGTACTTTTCATTCTGAACTTGAATACACGGCACTGAGTTAATCTGCAACAAATGAATGAATGAACCAAATGAAACAAGAAGTCAATGTAAACAAATTAGAGTTAATTTTTTTTTTTTTTTTTTTGAGACAGGAGTCTCGCTCTGCCGCCCAGGCTGGAGTGCAGTGGCCGGATCTCAGCTCACTGCAAGCTCCGCCTCCCGGGTTCACGCCATTCTCCTGCCTCAGCCTCCCGAGTAGTTGGGACTACAGGCGCCCGCCACCGCGCTCGGCTAGTTTTTTGTATTTTTTAGTAGAGACGGGGTTTCACCATGTTAGCCAGGATGGTCTCGACCTCCTGACCTCGTGATCCGCCCGTCTCGGCCTCCCAAAGTGCTGGGATTACAGGCTTGAGCCACCGCGCCCGGCCTAGAATTAATTTTAAAATGGAAATCAATTTCAAACAATAATAATGGTGATAGTCGTAACTGATTCTATTAAAATAATAATACTGGCTCCAATTATTAAACACTTGCTATGGCCTTGGCACTGTGAGACATGTCATCCTCACACAGTCTCCTTACAACTTGGAGGTCTGTGCAGTTGGTTCCCAGCCCCCATTTTTCAGATGAGGAAACGGAGGTGAAGTAACTGACCCCAGGTCAGTAGGTGACAGAACCATGGCTAGTTATGGCGAACATAGGCTCATATCACAGGTGAGGAATCAGAGGTCTAGAGAGGGAAGGGAATTGTCAAGGGGATGTGCAGCACTGAAGCTAGGCAGGCAGGCTTTGAGGCGAGACGTGACAGCGAATCCTGCTCTGCCACTCACCTGGAGGGAATTTGGGGTTCCTGAGGGCAGCTCTCAAGGGCAATGCTGGAGGGGGGTCTCTAGGGAAACTAGAGGGGATTGCAGGGCCTAGCTGTAATTCTTAGTGGTCTATAAGAGGCATTGGGAGCATCCCAACAAGCTCAGCCTTCAAAATGGATCCAGAAATCTGCCCTGTTCTCACCCTTTTTGCCTCCTGTCTCCACCCCAGTCAAGCCAGAGGGACCCCGTGAACACCAGAATTATGGATCACGTCCGTCCTCGGCTCAGCCCTCAAACCCCAACTCCATCTCACCCCAGGTAAAGGTCAAAGTCCTCATCACAGCTAGCAAAGCCCTGCATGATCTGCCCCAGTCACCTCTGTGACCCCGTTTATCTCTGTCCCCCTCGATGACTCTGCTTCAGCTGCCGGGCATCCTGACACTCACACCAGGGACCTCTCAGGGCCTTCGCACTCACTGTTCCTTTGCCTGTGAGGAACAGATGTCTCCCAGAGGTCCACACAGCTCCTCCCTCACCTCCTTCATGGCTTGCCTCAGATGTCACTTTCTCATCAAAGTCTTTCCGGAACACCCTATTTAAAATGACAACTGGCTCCACACTCCCAATCCCCTCTACCTGACTCTATTGTTTTCTTCTTCCCATGACACTGATCACCTTCTAACACTAAATGATTTCGTTATTTATGATGCTAATTGCCTGAAGCCAACACAGGAGTAGTTGCAGGGAAGTAGGGTTCATTTGTCATCTTCACTGCTGTACCCCAGCATCTAGAACAGTGTCTGGCACATAGTAGAAGCTCAATAAACATCAGATAAGGGGAGGACGGATTGAGTGCAGGAACGGGTGTCCTAGGTGAGTCTGGTCTGCAGAACCGGTGTCTGCAGGTGGGGCGGGCATAAGGGGGGGATTTCTCCCTACCCAGGTGGGCAATGAACTCCTGAGAAATGTCCATCCAGCGCAGCAGCTGCTGCAGGAAGCCAAAGGCAAACCGCTTTTCAATGGAAGATGAGTCCAGTTCCATGTCCTTAAGGCCTCTGGAGATGTGGAGAGAGGGATCAGCCCAGACACCGGCCCTACAGTTTCCCACCCTTCTCAGATCCGCCTCTGCTCCTGCTGGCCACATCTGTATCAGCTTTGGCTTCACCCCAGGTTGGGGCTCCACTCTGAGCCCCCCATGCCCCACCCCACTTAGCCTTCTCCCCTCTCTGGCACCGCCTCTGCTCCCAGGCCCCGCCCCCTCAGTCACCTCCCCTTTGGCCCCACCTCTGTTCCCCAGGCCCTGCCCTTCTCAGCCTTCTCTCCTCTTTGGTCCCGCCTCCACTCACCGGTTCCCGCCCCTCTCAGTCTCCTCCACTCTCTGGCCCCGCCTCTGCTCCCTGGGCCCCGCCCTTTTCTGCCTCCTCTCCTCTCTGGTTCCGCCTCTGCTCCTTAAGCCCCGCCCCACGCATTTCGGACTCCTCCCCATCTGACCCCGCCTCTGTGTCCAGGCCCCACTCCCTTAGCTCCTCCCCTCTGGTTCCTTCTTTGCTCCCCAGGCCCCGCTCCTCTCGGTTCCACCCCTCTCTGGCCCCGCCTCTCCCAGCCTTTGCCGGGTGGGTTCCCCCTGCTGCTCTTCCGCGGGCGTCCCAACCCGCGTGCCTTGTAACCGCGTAGCCATTCATCTGCAGGAATTTCAGCAGCTCCTGGGCCTTCTCTCGATCTCGTGCCTTCTCCTTGGCTGTTAGCGTGTCGTAGGGGACCAGCAGGGGGTGGGTCCCACCGCCTGGGGAGGCAAAGATCAGAAATTAGGGCTCTGGGGAAGACTCGGGCCACCCTCACTGAAGTGGTTCCTGCAGTGCCCGGCATGCGTAATTATAGTAATAAAGACGAAGATACGAATAACGGAAACATTGCTTGCTGGTGCTCATCTCATTACCCCACGGTGGTAAACGCTGTTATTATTCCCATCTACAGATGGAAAAATCGAGTTTCAGGGGCATGAAGGCAATCAGTAAAGCCACACGGTGAAGCCACGGGGGTCTCCTGGGGGCGGCATGGGCGTCCTCACCTTTGGCTTCCAGCTCCTGCTTCTTCTTCCTTCCCCACGTGTTGTGGTAATTTTCCGCCAGTTGTTCTGCCATGGCCTGGGAGTGGATGCAGAGTCAACGGGTAGATTCAGAGGATGCCAGCCCCCCCAAAGACACCCCATGTCCCCCCAAAAGGATCAGGGCTCTCACCTGCAGCTCCCGGGACAGGGTAACTGCGCTAAGGTCGGGGGGCTGGGGGTTGTAGCCTTCTCGAGGATCGTAGGTCTAAGAGGACAAGGGGAATATGGGAGGTAGGTTGATGGGCTAGCAGAAAGCCCAGGCCAGCCCCCTCCCCAGGCCCCCACTAGTCCATTCTACTCCCTCCGCCCTCCCCTGGCTCAAGACCCCGTGTCCTCTCCTTAAGGCCCTGTCTCTAAACTACCCCATCCTTCTCTCCTCTGCCCTTTGCAATTATTCAGACCCTTGCCCTCTCCTTTCCCAGATCTCAAGTTTCTGCACCCCTCTCTGGCCCCACCTACTTCCCTGGGCCCCTCTCCTCTCCATCCCATCCCTGTCTGGCCACGCCCTCTCCTGGCCACGCCCCTTGTTCTAGACCCTCCCTGCCTCATGCCCCTGCCCTCCGCCCAGGGGCATTTTGTGATATCTTCCGCCTTCACCTGGGCACTTTGTGATATCTTCCGCGTTTTTTTCTTTTCCGTCTTCTCCTCCTCACCCTCCCTGGCCTTCTCTATGGTCCATTCCCAGGCAATCATGGCCTTCAGGGACTCCTTGATGGGCCAGCGGTAAATCTCCTTGTCCTAGGGTGGACAGGAGGGTGGGGAGTTGGTGGAATGGAGTGAGAGGTGGGTGGAGGAAGGACCCCAAAGGAGAAAACCCTGACCACGTGGCTAGGCAGTGGTCCAGTCTGGATTCCAACTCAAGTCTCTTACCTGCTCTGTAACAGAGCCTCCCAAACCCAATGTCCTTATCCCATTAGACACACGAGTCTCTGAGAATTTTTTTTTTTTTTTTTTTGAGACGGAGTCTCCTTCTGTCACCCAGCCTAGAGTACAGTGGCACGATCTTGGCTCACTGCCAGCTTCTCCTCCCGGGTTCATGCCATTCTCCTGCCTCAGCCTCCCGAGTAGCTGGGACTACAGGCGCCCGCCACCACATCCAGCTAATTTTTTGTATTTTTAGTAGAGACGGGGTTTCACTGTGTTAGCCAGGATGGTCATCTCCTGACCTCGTGATCCGCCCGCCTCGGCTTCCCAAAGTGCTGGGATTACAGGCGTGAGCCACTGCGCCCGGCTCCAAGAAGTCTTACTACAGCCAAGGAATCAAACCCATTCTCTCAGACTCTCTACCCGCTCTACCAAGTTTGAGAGAAGGCAAAGTCCACGAATGACGAGACCTAATCCACAGATCCACCTGGATGCAAACCTGTGAACCTTCCTCACTCCGCCCTGAACCCTCAAATTTGGGGGTTTCATTTTGACTCCCAATGCTGGGCCTCAAGGCCTGGTCACCTTCTCTGAAAAGGTCTTGTAGGGCCTCAGCATGGGGTGGGTCTTCAACTCCTCATCTATGTTCTCTCCATAGGACCAGTTGTTCTGGATCTAGAGATGGAGAGGAGGCAGGGTGACGGGGAGGCAGCAGTTGGGGACACATAGGGGGGACCCTGGAGGAGCCGAGGACAGAGAATCCTGGGGGATCCCAGAAAAAGCTAAGGGTCTTAGGGAAGGCTGGGGGGTCTCAGGGAGATCTGGGGCCTCAGGGAGGAACCCTGAGGTTCAGGTTCCTGAACCCGGGTCAGGGGGAAAGCTGGGGTCTTGAGGGTTTCTAGGATAGGAGGACCCTGAGGCCAACCTTGTCGAAGGCCCACTTCTCATGTGTATACTCCGCAAACTTGTTAATGAAGGAGTCCAGCTTCTCCGGGATGATCACACTGTGGGGGGCATAGGGTCAGCAGACGTTGGGACTGGGGTTCCCTCCACCCCTGAAATCTTCCTCTCTGTCTCCCAGCCCCCAGGCCTCACTTGAGGGTTTCCACAGGCCGGGGATCAAAGTTGCCTTCAGCATCCACTGTGGCCTTTTTCTCCGCCTTAGATGAGTATGAGGCGTCCACGTAGTCGGGGGGCAGAGCCCCAGCAATGGCACACAGACAAGGCATGGCCATTCGGTAAAGCTCCGGGTCGTATTTCTGGGAAGGCCGGGAGGAGCAGGGGTAGGAGGTCACTATAAGCCTCAGTGAGCCTCGGGACCTCAAACTCACACACTGCAATAATCAGCCCTTCTCCCTGAACCCCCAAACCTGAATTATGGTCCCTCTCCTTGAAACCCAAATCTCAGACCCAACTGTATGCTCAAATCATCCCCATATTACCCTCTCCAAGCTCCCAAACTAGAGGCCCACCCCCTTTTCCATAACCTCCACGCTGAAGCCTCAACCCATAGATCCTCCTAGATCCAAACATGCAGAACCCTCTCATCCTTGAACCCCCCAAAATTGGGGGGTTTCGCTCTGGACTCCCAATTTTGGGCCCCAAACCCTCCACATAGGCCATTTTGGGGCTCCCTGCTGCCCAGACCTTATGGGCCAGGGAGTCAAAGATGCCCCAGAAGAGTTTCCGCGTGAGGTGCAGCTCCTCCTCCGAGGTGACCCCGAAGTTGGCCCAGCCTGTGGGTAGGCAGTAGTACTTCCAACAACGCTCATAGTGGTTGGTGAGGAGCTGGGTGGGAGCGAGAGGGGGACACACAAATGAAAGGGGGAACCAGCGGATGGCAGGCAGACGAAGGCCCAGAGAGACACAAGCATGCCAGTGCTTTTAAATTATGAAGGAGGTGTGGGTTATGCAAATGATACGCTAATAAGGGAAGAAATGGTATGTTTTTTGAGGAGTGGTCTTAGACAGCTTAGTATGCAAATTTAGCATTCTTAATTTAGAGTTAAGATGGGCATTAAACTAGAGCTGGTTGCGTCTGGTGTTGCTTTACACAAATAAGCGTGCTAATATTAATCCGTGGGTACGTAGTGAGTAAATGGGCATATGGATGTGGCAATCTGTGCTTATGCAAATTAACATATCAAGTAGAAACAAAAGCTGCACCCCATGCAAATATATGGTAATCGGGAGGAGGGCCTCCACTATCCAAGATGCAAAGTTTTTTTTGTTTTTTTTGTTTTTTGAGGTGGAGTCTCTGTCGACCAGGCTGGAGTGCAGTGGCACAATCTCGGCTCACTGCAACCTCCGCCTCCCAGGTTCAAGCAATTCTCCAGCCTCAGCCTCCAGAGTAGCTGGGATTACAGGTGTGCTCCACCACGCCCAGCTCATTTTTGTATTTTTAGTAGAGACCGGGTTTCACTATGTTGGCCAGGCTGGTCTCGAACGCCTGACCTCAAGTAATCTGCCCACCTCTGCCTCCCAAACTGTTGGGATTACAGGCGTGAGCCACCGCGCCTGACTAAAATGCAAATTTGAAATACGAGCTGATTTCGATGTATTATGCAAAATAGTCAAGCTATCTTGAGTTGGGGTAGCTCTTTATGCAAATTAGCATGCAAATAAAAAAATAAGAAAGACAGTGTGCAAATATTCAGAATAGCTGTGGTAATGTTTATTCAAATAAATGCACTCATTTGAATAGTGGAAGTCTGGTGGTCCAGGCATGCAAATAAACATGCTAATTAGGGAAAGTGGTGTGTTCCATGCAAATATATGCTAACTGAAGCGGGGGCTGGCTCACTGTTAAGCAAATTAAACGCTAATTAGGGAACGCTAGAGGCATCAATGAAGCAAAGTGAATGTTCTGGGAATCCTAGTATGCAAATCAGGATGCTAAGAGGTTTCTATGGGGACGCCGTCCTAACTAGTGCAGGTTAACTGGGCTGGGCAGCGCTGACACAAATGGGCCCCGCAGTCGGAGGGAAGAGCAAACCAGTGTGGGCGCGGCCTGGAAACGAACCGCTAAAGATCGCTTGTCCTTACCTTGAGTGGCATCTTGGCAAACTCGTTTAAGATGGGCACGTCGAACACCAGACGCCGCAGCAGGTGCTGCAGCATCGACGGGCGGATGTACCTGCGCGACAGCGCACAGGATGGTGGGACCTCCCCTCTAGGCCTGCTCTGCGGGCCCGCCCCTGCCCCCCGCCCCGTCCTGGGGCCCGCCCCACCCCACCTGCAGAGAGCCATGAGGCAGTCCTCGATGACGTCGCGCTGCGCCTTGGTGAGCGAGCGACCCCGGGACAGGCGGTACACCGTGTGCAGCATGGAGTCCACCATGATGGCGCGGTGTTCCGTGCCCGCAAAGAGCGGCGCACACTTGGTGATGAGAGGCAGCACGGCCAGGCACAGGTAGCGGTTCAGCGCCAGTGCCATCTCGGTGGTGCTGAAAGTGGCCTAGGGCGCAGAGGGAGGACATCAGGCCCGCTGCACACCCCCGGGGCTGCTCTGGCACCTGCCCTGAGCTACTCTGGCCGAAGGATCCAAGCTTCTGATCACTCCCCCAAAACCTGCTTCTCTCAATCTCTACCACCCTCCTCCCACCCTATGCCCATGCCCCTACGCCCACAGTCCCCACCCCACCACTTACTACTTTGGCCTATGCAAAATTTCAAACACACACAACTGGTCGATGAGATTAATGAACTCCATTACAGATTTGGCTCTTCTGTAAATATGGATGGTCTGCACACTTATCTGCTCTCTAAGCCTCACCTTTCTTCCTGTAATACGTTCTTTTCCATTTGTTAGAGACAGCGGTCTCTGTTGCCCAGGCTGGAGTGCAGTGGTGCAATCATAGCTTCCTGCAGCCTCGAATTCCTGGGCTCTGGTGATCCTCCTGCCTCAGCCTCACTAGTAGCTAGGACTACAGGGACGCACCTCCATGCCTGGCTAATTTCTTTTTCTTTTTTTTTGAGATAAGGTCTGGCTCTGTTGCCCAGGCAGGAATGCGGCGGTGTAATCATGGTTCACTGCAGCCTCAAAGTCTGTGCCTCAAGTGATTCTCCCACCTCAGCCTCTCTAGTAGCAGAGACTACAGGTGTGCACCACCATACCCGGCTAATATTTAAATTTTTTTGTAGAGACAGGGTCTCTCCATGTTGCCCAGGCTGGTCTCGAACTCCTGGCTTCAAGCGAATCGCCCGCCTTGGCCTCCCAAAGTTATTACAAGGGTGAGCCACCATGCACAGCCCCAGGCTCTCTTAAACCCTCTCTAGGAAGGCTTCTGTCCCCTGCTGAAACTGTTCATCCCAGTTTCCAGTGACCTTGACTTTGCTAAATTGGTGATCACTTCTCAGTGCTCATTTTCCTTGCCCTATCACCCTTCTGTTATTGCTGTTCCTGTACAGAGTTCTGTGTGTCCACAGTGCCAAACCAACATTGTGAACGAATTTTTTTTTTTTTTAAGTTGGAGTCTCGCTCTGTCGCCAGGCTGGAGTGCAGCAGCGTGATCTCAGCTCACTGCAACCTCGCCTCCCGGGTTCAAGCAATTCTTCTGCCTCAGTCTCCTGAGTAGCTGGGATTACAGGCGTGCGCCACCACGCCTGGCTAATTTTTGTATTTTTTGTAGAGATGTGGTTTCACCACGTTGGTCAGGCTGGTTTCGAACTCCTGACCTTGTGATCTGCTTGCCTCGGCCCCACAAAGTGCTGGGATTACAGGCGTGAGCCACCGCGCCTGGCCTCGAACAATGATTTCCATTTCTTATAACTGGAGGTCGTGGAGATTCCTACTCACCCTTCATTGGAATTCAGAGTGTTTCTTGGTTTTCATTTTCTATCTTTATGATGGTATCGGGGATTATGGTATGTCCACAATCCCAAGAAAAGCAAAAGCAGCTGCTGCTGCTCCACCGTGACCCATCTCCTGTCCCTCTGTGGAGGTGGGGAGGGTGGCCAGGCTGGGCGGGGCTGCTCACCGTGTCCAGCGAGGCGGCTGCCCTCATGTCGGGCAGGAATCCCACGTCCAGCACGTGCAGCAAGAAGTCCTGGTTCTCAATGCCGTACACACGGTCCAGGAAGAGCACCATGGACGCCTTGTGGTCCGGCACGAAGGATGCTGACATCTTTGGCTGCACCAGAGCCCCGTCTGCAGGCAGGGAGGGCGGGTTCAGGGATGTCCTGCGGACCCGGCAGCTCCCTCCCCAGCGTCACTCCTTTGCCAAGTTCCATCCCCTCCGCACCTTTGCCCAGGGTGGGCATCTGCAGTGGGAGGCTGATGATGCCCACGAGGTCCTCCAAGGGCACAAGGGAGCGGAGGATGGCACGGATGCGCAGGGCCTCACCCTTGCAGGCTTGGATTAGCTGGGGAACGCAGGGAGGGAGAGGGGCACTCATCAGGCACTGGTGCCCCGCTCAGTGACTGCTCCGCTCCCTCCCTTCCCATACAGGAGGGTAGAGCAGGCCTCTTTCAGCGGGCTGTCTAGGGTTTCCAGCCCTCATTCCTCTGCCTGTGCCCCCCCGACTCCAGCCCTGAACCCTCTCCCTGCGCCCCCCATCCCCATCCTGACCCCTCTGCTTGTGCCCCCCAACCCCAGTCCTGACCCCTCTCCCTGTGACCCCTCATCCTGGCCCCGACCCCTATCCCTGTGTCCCCATCCCCATCCTGACCTCTCTCCCTGTGTCCCCATCCATCCTGAGTCCTCTCCATGTGCCCCGCCATCCCGGCCCCGACCTCTCTCCCTGTGCGCCCCCATCCCAGCCCTGACCACTCTGGGTGTCACTGTCTGTCTCCCCTACTGGACCGGGAGCTCTGTGAGACCAGGCCCTGGGGCTGTCTTGGTCACTGTTGTGTCCCCAGCATTGCTAGTCCAGGACCACCCACGTATGTGAGCTCACTCCGTGTCACCGAGTGCCTGCATGAGGCATTCAAGGCGGCTGTACCTGCCCTCCCTCCCCAGCCCGCCCTGGCTCTGGGTCTCACATGCATCTCTGGCGCACAGCGTCCAAGCAGGTCGATCAAGGCAGCATAGAAGGACATGATGGCGTGTCCCAGGTGCACCCGGTTTTCTTCAGGTGGTTCCTCACCGAAGCTGCAGGGAAGGTGGGTGGGTGGGTGGGAGGGGGAGGCAGCTAGGGGCCTGGGAGGGCGGGTTGCCCTATTGAGGAGGGGGCCGGGACACTCACTGCTCGCGCCGCCGGTCCCTGCGGATGCCTGGGCCATCCCTCGCAGGGTCCTCGGAGATGCGGATGGCCTCTTCGATGGCAGCCAGCAGCCCTGAGCCACCCTCACCCCGCAGGGCGGGTCCGAAGCACTCAGGCTTCCGGATGAGCAGCCGCACCACCACGTTGGCGTTCTCCTCCACGCTCTCGCCTGGCCACCCGTGTGGGGACAGGGGGTCTCAATGAGCCACCACCAGATACCTCCCCATCCAGCCCCAGGACCCAACACTTCCAGAGGTAACACCAGCCCCTGCCAGCCCCAGGACCCAACAACTCTAGGGGTAACACCAGGTCCCTGCCAGCCCCACGACCCAGTATCTCCAGGGGTAACACCAGGCTCCCGCCAGCCCCAGGACCCAACACTGCCAGCCCCAGGACCCAATACGTCCAGAGAGGTAACGCAGGCCCCTGCCAGCCCCAGAACCCAACACCTCCAGGGGTAACACAGGCCCCTGCCAGCCCCAGGCCTGCTTGAAGGGATCCCTGTCTGGACCCCACCTGTGGCTCAGGGTGTGAGCAGTCATCCCAAGGGAGGTGTGACCAGTGACTCCATACTTCCCCCTCTGCCACTGCCACCCCCTCCTCACCGTTTACGAAGACAGCGAAGCGCAGGAAGTCCAGGTAGCGCTCTCCACCGCAGGGGTTCCAGCCAATATCTGGGTATCCCTTGGCCACAAGCATGGGGCAGCTTTGGAGGCCACAGCCTGCCAGGTAGGACACGACCTGGGGACAGGAGGGGCTCAGTCAGAGACCAGACCCACGCCACCATCCTCCTGGGGCCCAGCCCTCTGCCCTGCCTTGCTCTGCGGCTCCTCAGTCTGGTTCAGCTCTGATCCCTTGGCCAATTAGCCCTGGTCCTGTCAGAGGCCTGTAAACTAGAGCAACTCCATCTTGAACAGGAGCAGAGTAAAATGAGGCTGAGACCTACTGCGCTGCATTCCCAGACGGTGAAGGCATTCTAAGTCACAGAATGAGATAGAAGGTTGGCACAAGATACAGGTCATAAAGACCTTACTGATAAAACAGTTGCAGTAAAGAAGCCGGCCAAAACCCACCAAAACCAAGATGGCGAAGAGAGTGACCTCTGGCCGTCCTCACTGCTACACTCCCACCAGCGCCATGAGAGTTTACAAATGTCATGGCAATGTCAGGAAGTTATCCTACATGGTCTAGAAAGGGGAGGCACGAATAATCCACCCCTTGTTTAGCATATCATCAAGAAATAACATAAAAAATGGGCAACCAGCAGCCCTTGGGGCTGCTCTGTCTGTGGAGTAGCCATTCTTTTATTCCTTTACTTTCCTAATAAACTTGCTTTCACTTTACTCTATGGACTCGCCCTGAATTCTTTCTTGTGTGAGATCTAAGAACCTTCTCTTTGGGCCTGGATCCAGACCCCTTTCCTGTAGTGGTCCTGTCTGCCCTCGTCTCCCATCTGGACCACGACACCAGCCTCCTCCCTGTGCTTCTGTCCTTCTGCCTTCCCCTCGATCTGTTTCCCACACACAGCCAGAGGGACTCTGTGAACACCTGAGTCAGGTCACGTCCCTCCTCTGCTCAGAACCCTGGCCTCCTCTCACTCAGGGTAAAAGCCAGAGCCCTTGTTGTGACCCATGAGATGCCTCATGACCCATCTGTCACCTCCTGCCCTCACCCCCACTGCCTCTGCCCCAGCCACAGCTGTCTCTCTGCTGTTCCTCCAACTCACGAGGTTCGCTCCTGCCTCAGGGCCTTTGCACTGGCTGTTCCCACAGCCAAGAATGCTCTTCCCCATGATGTCCACCTGACCCGTCACCTTCCTTCAGAGCTTTACACAAATGTCACTTTCTCAATGAGACTTTCTCTGGCCACTTTTTTTTTTTAAGGGTTCTCGCTCTGTCCCTCAGGTGACGTGCAGTGGTGCGATCATAGCTCACTGCAGCCTCAGCCTCGCAGGCTCTATCAAATCCTTCCACCTTAGCCTCCTGAGTAACTGGGACTACAGGTACGTGCCACTACACCCACCTAATTTTTGTATTTTTTTGTAGATACAAGGTCTCCCTATATTGGCCAGGCTGGTCTTAAAATCCTGAGCTCAAGTGATCCTCCTGCCTCGGCCTCCCAAAGTACTGGGATTACAGACACGAGCCACTTTGCCTGGCCAGACAGTGATTTTTAACTGTCATATTACTATTGCTTTGCACAGGTCCTACCATATGGTAAGTGAACGCTACATATTTGTTGAATGATCATATAACAGCAGCTGACTAATATAACACCACTGACTGCCTCTTTACAAACACTTTCCTGGATTAAGTCATTTAATCCTCAGAATGACTCCATGAAGTCGTTTCTATGACTACATTCATTGTACAAAATAAAGCAACAGAGGTCTGGAGACTCTAAGTCACTTATCCAAGGCCACACAGCCAGTGAGCGAGGAGAGCAGAAGCAAAGTTGCTGAACTCTGGAGCCCATGCATTGCACCACTGTACACAGAAGTGCAAGCTCAGAGAGCCAAGAAACGTGCCAAGGCTACCTAGCTGGAAGCCTAGACTGCGGATCCGCCCCCAGCCCGGAAGCATAGACTGTGGATCCGCCCCCAGCCGGGAAGCTAAAGTGCAGATGGGCTCCCAGCCCAGAAGCGTAGACTGCAGACCTGCTCCAAGCCGGAAGCGTGGAGTGCAGACCTGCCCACAGCCAGGAAGCATCCCGTGAATGAGCAACTGGGTGCCGTTCTCTCCCTGCAAATTAGTCTCCTGGTTGGGCACACCATCCAGAATTGCCCCCCAGAATGAGTTCAGAATCAGTAGGTGTCCCAAGGAGCCAGGTAGCGGCCCGATCTCCTCCCTTAGGCCCGGAGTCCAGCCCTGCCCTCCATACCTTTTCCAGGTCCTGCTCCTGCAACGCCAAGGCCAGCTCATTGTTGTCAATGACAGAGGCAGCAGCCACGTCCAGGGGCGTGGAGCCCTGCATGCCTGCAGGGGCAAGAGGTGGGAAGAACATCTCACTCCTGCTTGTCTCACCTCCTCTGGGAAGCCCTCCCTGACCACCCTTTATCCAACCTGGATCAGGTACCTCCTCTGGTCTGTACTTCCCTCATCCAAGCTCTGACCACTCTAGGCTGTCACTACTGGGGTCACTATTGTGTCCCCGGCATTACTCGTTACGGGGCCAGAGCCACAGTTGAGAGGGAGTGTTTACTGAATGACTGAGTGAGTGAGCTGGTGGAAAGTGGGGCAGGCGTGGATAGGGTGCCAGGAGTGGGTTCTGGGGGACAGCCCCTGGGCTCGGGGGTTCTCACCCAGGCCGATGCCGCTGTTCTCCAGCAGGTAGCTCAGGTGGTCAAACATGGAGCGCTGGTTCTGCCGGCTGATGCGGCAGAAATAGCAGAGGAAGCGGCAGCAGCTTGTCACCATCTTGGGGAAGCGGATCTCCTGGGACGGGCAGGGTGGGCCGGCGGTCAGGGCCTGCCCTCTGTGGCCGCCTCCCCTGAGCTCCCCAGTGTTCGCCTGGGCCCTCACCTTGGACTCGCCGCCGCCCCCGAGGACGTTGACCATGACCTCCATGACCGTCTCGTGCATGCCCAGCGCCCTCATCAGGTTCGGGTGTTGGTAGAAGACTTTGTTGTTCATGATGTTCCTGTGCAGGGACAGAGTGGGCGGGATCACCAGGGCCCGGGTGGGGCCCAAGTCCAGAGAGGGCCACAGCCACCACTGTGACAGCAGCTGGTATTCTCGACCCTGTCCCTCTGTGCCTAGCACCACCCCCTTTACAGATCTGCAGTCACTCAATTGCTACAGCCGGCCAGGCGCAGTGGCTCACGCGTGTAATCCCAGCACTTTGGGAGGCCGAAGCTGGAGGATCACTTGAGGTCAGGAATTCGAGATCAGCCTGGCCAACATGGTGAAACCCCGTTTCTACTAAAAATACAAAAATTAGCCAGGTGTGGTGGCGCATACCCGTAATCCCAGCTACGTGGGAGGCTGAGGTGGGAGAATCGCTTGAACCCGGTAGGCGGAGGTTGCAGTGAGCAGACATTGCGCACTCCAGGTTGGGCAACAGAGCAAGACTCCATCTCAAAAAAAATAACAATAAAAAAATAAAAAACAATTCCTACAGCCACCGTGGGAGAAAGGGTCCTTGTTTCTCTCATAAGGAGACCGAGCTGTGCACCCAAGGCGGGCTCCTCTAGAAGAGAGATCTTTGCCATGTTGCCCTTTGTCAAATGTTGTCCCAGCAGAGTGGCTCACGCTTGTAATTCCAGCCCTTTGGGAGGCCAAGGCAGGAGGATCACTTGAGCCCAGGAGTTCAAGACCAGCCCGGGCAACATAGCAAGACCCTGCCTCTACAAAAAAATTTACAAATTAGCTGGGCATGGTGATGTGTGTCTGTAGTCCCAGCTACTCAGGAGGTTGAGGCAGGAGGATCGCTTGAGCACAGGAAGTTGAGGCTGCAGTGAGCTATGATTGGGCCACTGCACTCTAGCCTGGGCAACAGAGTGAGGCCCTGTCTCAAAAACACCTAGAAAGGGCCTGGCATGCAGTAGGTGCTTAATAAATGTTTACTATGTGAATGAGATATATTTGACACTGAGTGCTCACTACTACTACCATGATTATTATTATTCGCACAAGCTCACGGAAGCCACAGCACAACTCTTCAGAGCAGGCTTGGCTCTCCCCCATTTTACAGATGAGGAAACTGAAGCTCAAAAGGGGTAAACCTCAGCCGGGCGTCGTGGCTCAAGCCTCTAATCCCAGCACTTTGGGAGGCCGAGGCGGGTAGATCACCTGAGGTTAGGAGTTCGAGACCAGCTTGATCAACGTGGTGAAACCCTGTCTCTACTAATTATAAAAAATTAGCCAGGTGTGGTGGTGCGTGTCTGTAATCCCAGCTACTTGGAAGGCTGAGACAGGAGAATTGCTTGAACCTGGGAGGCGGAGGTTGCAGTGAGCTGAGATCATGCCACCACACTCCAGCCTGGGTGACAGAGTGAGACTCAGTCTCACAAAAAAAAAAAAAAAAAAACGGTAAACGTCCTGCTGAGAGTCACACAGTAAGTGGAGCTGCTGCTACCACTGAGGGTAGAGAGGTAAGGGAAGGAGACATTAACCAGGAGGTGGGCTAGTCGCCTGAGACTGAGTAGATCACCCAGAGGATGGGCCAGAAGTTGGGGAAGGGAATGTGATTGTATCCTGAAGGCATTCGTTAGCCAAGGGGATATGCAAAGTAAGCGGGCAGGGCGGTGCCTCACCCGATGCTCTGGATCATGAGGTTCTCCTCCTGAGGGCCCATCTGCACGATGAGCAGGGAGCGGATCTGGCCGAGGCACTCAAGCAGGCTCATGGTGTCTTCCACCGAGGACGGTGAGATGGTGTACGCCCGTGGCAGGGCACGCAGCAGCTCACCCAGCCCGTCGTACTGCCGGTGCAGGAGGCTGAACATGGCCCGCACCAGCTCGGGGCTCTGCACGAAGTCCTCTTGGGCCCAGCGCACCACCATATGGGACACCAGTTCCTGCAGGGACCCTGGGAAGGAGACAACACAAGGCTTGGAGCACCACGCAGGGCAGGTCAGCACGCGGGGCCATGGACCACAATGTGGAAGGGGTCCCCTGTTCCAGAAGCTTTCCCAGTTACTACCACCCCTGCCCTCCACCTGCCGGGAGCAGGCAGATTCTAGCAGACTGTTTTCCCTTTTCTCTTTTAGAGACAGTGTCTTGCGCTGTTGCCCTGGCTGGGGTGCAGTGGTGTGATCACAGCTCAGTGCAGCCTCGAACTCCCGGGCTCAAGTGATCCTCCTACTCTGGCCTCCCAAAGGGCTAGGATTATAGGTGTGAGCCACTGTGCCCAGCCTGGCAAACTTTTTTCTATTCCCCCAAGAATCTCTCTGTTCTGTTTGCCCTAATATCCAGCCCACAAGGGCTTCCTAAAAATTTCAACAGGAATAATAAACTGTACAACTACAAGATACCAGAGCCAACCGGAAGCACTTCGCCATGCACCTTTGAAGGCACATGTCACAATCCCACTTGTTCTATAAAAATACTGTGGATTTGGCAGGGCGTGGTGGCTCACACCCGTAATCCCTGCACTTTGGGAGGCTGAGGTGGGTGGATCACCTGAGGTCAGGAGCTCGAGACCAGCCTGGCCAACATGGTGAAGCCCCGTCTCTACTAAAAATACAAAAATTAGCCAGGCATGGTGCTGCATGCCTGTAATCCCAGCTACTCGGGAGGCTGAGACAGGAGAATTGCTTGAACCTAGGAGGCAGAGGTTGCAGTGAGCCAAGATCGCGCCACTGCACTCTAGCCTGGGCGACACAGCGAGACCCTGTCTCAAAAAATAATAATAATAATAATTTTTTTTTTTTTTTTTTTTTGAGACAGAGTCTCGCTCTGTCGCCCAGGCTGGAGTGCAGTGGCCGGATCTCAGCTCACTGCAAGCTCTGCCTCCCGGGTTCACGCTAGTCTCCTGCCTCAGCCTCCCAAGTAGCTGGGACTACAGGCGCCACTACCACGCCCGGCTAGTTTTTTGTATTTTTTTAGTAGAGATTGGTCTCGATCTCCTGACCTCGTGATCCGCCCGTCTCGGCCTCCCAAAGTGCTGGGATTACAGGCTTGAGCCACCGCGCCCGGCCAATAATAATAATTTAAAAATCTAAACTCGCAGGCAGGGGCTTTGACTTTCTCCCCTCGGCTGTATTTCCCAGCCCTGGTAACAGTGCCTGGCCCAGAGTTGGCCCCATAAAAGTTTCCTGAATGTTGCGGGATAAAACCTGTACCAACGTCAGGAAATCTGTCCTTGTTAGATGTGGCTAATACACAGTTTGCAAAATAACACGTTGGCCCAACATTCATCACAGCTGCTTGTCTAATCCCTTAGCATGGTAATCGTCTCATCAAGAGAGAAAAGAGAAGCCGCAAGGCCACAGAAGCCACAGTGGTTCAGGTTGTCACCATCCCTTGGTTAGAGGTTTGCCACTAAGCTGGTAGGCTGTGTCACCCTCGTCCAACACACACGTTCTACAGCCCCCATCTTTGGAGGCAAACTCCAGCATGCCCTTTTTTTTTTAGACAGAGTCTTGCTCTGTCACCCAGGGTAGAGTGCAGTGGTGCAATCTGGGCTCACTGCAGCCCCCACCTCCTGGGTTCAAGCGATTCTCGTGCCTCACCTCCAAGTAGCTGGGATTACAGGCGTGCACCACCACGCCCGGTTAATTTTTGTATTTTTAGTAGAGAAGGGGGTTTCACCATGTTGGCCGGGCTGGCCTCGAACTCCTGACCTCAAGTGATCCACCTGTCTCAGCCTCCCAAATTGCTGGGATTACAAGCATGACCCACCATGCCTGCTTCCAGTTTGCCCACCGCTCTTCTTCTCTCATTTCTGCCTATCTTCCCCTCCCTTGCATCCATCGTCATGCCCTCATTGGGACACAGAGGCTCCCCAGGCATGGGGCTGCCCACCCCACCCCTGCCCTCTCCCCAGTGACCCCAGTCCTCACGGGGTTTGCTCTCCTCTGCTGGCCGCTCCTCCTCAGGTTTCTCCTCCTTCTTCTTCACCAGCCGCACTTTCTCCAAAAGGCTCATGAGGCGGCTGCCCAGGGTGGTCTCTTCCTCCGGTTCCTCCTCCTCTCCATCCAGCTGAATTCCTGGAAGTGGTCAAGAAGCGGGGAAATGTCATTCACCAGTTTGCTTATTCACCTGCTCACACACTCACTTCTTCATTTGTGCATATGTGCATGCATTCATGGAGTTTTTCATTTCCTTTTTTTTTTTTTTTTTTTTTGAGACAGTGTCTTGCTCTGTTGCAGTGGAGGGCAGTTGCATGATCTCACCTCACTGTAACCTCTGCCTCCCAGGCTCAAGCCATACTCCTACCTCAGCCTCCTGAGTAGCTGGGACTACAGGTGTGTGCCACCATGCCCTGTTAATTTTGTATCTTTTGCTGTAGAGATGGGGGTCTTGCCATGTTGCCCAGGCTGGTTTTGAACTCCTGAGCTCAAGCAATCCTCCCCCTCAGCCTCCCAAAATGCCAGGATTACAGGCATGAGCCACCACCCCGGCCTCATTTACTTCTTTGTATGTTCATGTCTTTGTTCATGTATTCATTCTATGAAACATTTATCTTTTAAATCAATTTTACAAATATGTTCAAAGAACTAAAGGAAACTATGTCTGAAGAATTAAAAGGAAATATGGGCTGGGCGCGGTGGCTCAAGCCTGTAATCCCAGTACTTTGGGAGCCTGAGACGGGAGGATCACGAGGTCAGGAGATTGAGACCATCCTGGCTAACACGGTGAAACCCCGTCTCTACTGAAAAATACAAAAAACTAGCCGGGCGAGGTGGCGGCGCCTGTAGTCCCAGCTACTCGGGAGGCTGAGGCAGGAGAATGGCGTAAACCCGGGAGGCGGAGCTTGCAGTGAGCTGAGATCCGGCCACTGCACTCCAGCCTGGGCGACAGAGCGAGACTCCACCTCAAAAAAAAGGAAATATGATAATAGTGACTCACCTAGTAGTGAATACTAATAAAAAGGCAGATTGTTAAAATACAGAAATTCTTTTTTTTTTTTTTTGAGATGGAGTTTTGCTCTTGTCACCCAGGCTCAAGTGCAATGGCGCGATCTCGGTTCACTGCAACCTCTGCCTCCCGGGTTCAAGGGATTCTCCTGCCTCAGCCTCCCAAGTAGCCTGTACCATCATGCCCGGCTAATTTTGTATTTTTAGTAGAGATGGGGTTTCTCCCTGTTGGTCAGGCTGGTCTCAAATTCCCAACCTCAGGTGATCCGCCCACCTCGGCCTCCCAAAGTGCTGGGATTACAGGCGTGAGCCACCGCGCCCAGCTAAAATATAGAAATTCTGGAGTTGAAAAATAAAATAACTGAAATAAAAAATTACTAGAGGGGGTTCAACAGCATATTTGAGCTGGTAGGAGAAACAGTCAGCGAACTTGAAGGTAGGACATAGAGATTATGTAGCCTGAAGAACAGAAAAGTAAAAGAATGAAGAAAAGTGGACCAGATGTAGTGGCTCATGCCTGTAATCCAGCACTTTGGGAGGCCCAGGCATGCAAATTGCTTTAGCCCAGGAGTTCAAGACCAGCCTCAGCAACATGGCAAAACCCCGACTCTATAAAAAATTTAAAAATTAGCAAGGCTTGGTAGCACACACCTGTTCTCCCAGCTACTCAGGAGGCTGAGGTAGGAGAATGGCGTGAATCCAGGAGGCGGAGCTTGCAGTGAGCTGAGATCGCGCCACTGCACTCCAGCCTGGGTGACAAAGCAAGACTCCGTCTCAAAAAAAAAAAAAGAAGCCTCAGAGACCTGTAGGATGCCATCAAGTGTACCAATATATGCATAATGAGAGACCCAGAGGAAGAGGAAAGGGGCAGAAAAGTATTTGAATAAGTAATTGTCAAAAATATTCCAACTTTGGCCGGGCGCGGTGGCTCAAGCCTGTAATCCCAGCACTTTGGGAGGCCGAGACGGGCGAATCACGAGGTCAGGAGATCGAGACCATCCTGGTGAAGGCGGGCGCGCTGTGTCACAGCTATCGGGAGGCTGAGGGCAGGAGAAGGCGGGAACGCGGGAGCGGATTGCAGTGAGCTGAGATGGCCACTGCACTCCAGCTGGGCGACCAGGCGTAGATCCGTCTCCAAAAAAAAAAAAAAAAAAGGATTCGCCTTTCATGATGAATTACTTTTCGTTGGCTGATTTTAAGGTTTTTTCTCGTTGGTCTTTGCTTTCAACCCTTTAGTGTTATGGATGTCGAGGGTCCGCTCTTGAATTTATCCTATTGGAATTTATGTTGAGTTCTTGGATATATAGCATTACTTTCTTCCAAAGTTGCGAATATTATTTTTTTTTTTTTTTTTTTTTTTTTTTGTGTTTTTGAGACGGGTCTGGCTCTGTTCGCCGGCTGGGTTGCAGGGTGGCGGATTCAGGCTCAATGCAGCTCGAGCCCGCCGGGTTTTACGCATTGCTCCTGCCTCAGCCCTCCGAGTAGCTGGGCGACTACGAGGCGCCCGCCACCTCGCCCCGGTAGTTTTTTGTATTTTTATTAGTAGAGCAGCGGGTTTCACGTGGTCCAGAATGG